GAAAAGAAGGGGGGGGGGGGGGGGGGATTTTTATCTGGGCTCTCCAGAAAGCATGCAAGGGGTGCTTTTCCATGGGATAGAAGCAGTGCTGCCTTTTCACCTGGAGGACATTCTTTAGGCTTGTCTTGAAATTGCAGTACAGAGAGCAAAATAAACACCCCTTAAATAAAAGAAAACAACTTGTGCAAAATTATCACTAAGAATCCATCACGGCTTGGCCCACATTTGCTAGTATCTAGACTTCCCAGTAAAAAAAAAAAGCACTAGGCTAAATTTTATTAAGCAACACCTGTACACTTTACTGGTGAGCTGATTGTACTGATCAAAGAGCATTATATGGACTTTAAATTGTTCACTACAGTGTGTAAAACTGCCTAAAACAAAAGGATCAAACAGTGGCTTTGACAACTGTGCAAAAACCAAGTTGTGGCTTTCTGACAAAATGGGAGATGGTAGTAGTTTCCCTTCCTGTTTGAAAAAGCAGCAAGCTGCAGCTGTAAGATTTTTTTTATTTTAAATAAGTTCATTTTGACCTTTGATGCCTGGTCAACATTAGCAGACTTTTTTTCCACCTGTATCACTGCTGCAGCTCTTGTCAGGACTCACTAATACAGTTTTTTAATTTTTACATCAGCTTTCTCATTTGTTTGGTTACATCTGCAACATCCTCCCCCTTCTCCCCTTCTAAGGAGATTAACTAGTGCCATACCTCATTTTGCATCCCTAGCCATTTTTTACTGCATTTGCTTTTGCAGCAGCCTTTCTTACTTCAACGTCTGCCAGGGAAGTACGAGTTAATCAGTGTGTAAAAATTCTGATCTATGACTACGCTGCAACTGACAGCATCAAACAGCACAAGCACAGAGTAGGAAGTTTTGCATCCATTTGTTTCAAAATCAACTCAGCTTTGCAGACACCTCTGTAGCTCCCTCCAAAAGTAATTGCGGCAAAAAGTCTTCAGAAAAGTGTCTTTAGGTTGGCTGAACTACATTTATTTGCTCTTCCTGAGGAGATATGTTTTCACAAAAGAAAAAAAAAATTAGTCACATGAAAAAAAGTATTTACCTAGAAATTAAATGTGTGGAATTGCCACCAACATTTAAAGCATTCTGGAGAGAACTGAAGCAGTATTAGGCCAACTCAAACTCTCATAAATCTTTTCCCTTTCAGAGTCTGCTGTTGGACTTCATCTGCCCCAACTCCACCCATGATACAAAGGCACAAACAGAACCTAGAAGTCAATGGACAATTCCTGCTTAGAAGATACAGTCTCCAGAAGGAAGACTGAACGTACAGCTGTGTTCTACTCAGCCTTCCAGTGTTCTCAGGTAAGGTGGTGCCCCCAAGACACACTGGCCAGGGGAGCTGGAACAATCTGTTCTCACATTATTTTATGTCACTACCTTGTCTCTGCACATTTTCTGCCTCTTTCTTCAGCCATCTCCTCATGTACTTCACCAGCACTTTCTTGGAGTAGGAACTTATCTCTTATTGTGGGCGACTCTCTTCTGAGAGGAACA